CAGATAAATGTAAGAAAAACTGAAAAATGTTTGAACTTATCTAAATGATTCTTTATTCATTTACAGCTATAATCCAAATATTGTGCAAACGTACAAAACATGTACAGTGGTGTTTATAGCTCAAATGGTGATGCTACTGTTAAAAAGGTCTAAAGGTTGTGGAAAAGTAAGGTTTATGACGTTTCTTTGATTATTGGCTAAAAAAAATCTCATTTTGGGATTGTCAGAGAAAAATAAAAACAAAAACTGGTCAACTTCACATGAAAAATAAAAAACACAACACGTGATGTGCTTAGAACGACAGAGGATCACGTCTGTTGATCTTAACAGCGAAATGCATTTTGCAAGAGCTATTTTTTCCTGAATTGTATTGACCAATTAAATCCGAACAAATATTTCTGCTCTTATGGTTAAAAAAAGATTTTCCCACTTGGCTGATTTGCAGCCTTGAATTAACACATCGGATTACCTGTACGTCTAGCAGCAAACATATTTTAGCTTTGCAGCAAACATGTCTTTGCAGTATAGCAAACTAATGAGTGCTTGTCTCTGCAGGGCTCCGTGGAGGCTCAGTGTGGGCTCGTACTGAACGGCCAAGGGGGCGTCATCCGGAGAGGTAAGCCCCCCCCCCCGTTTATTTCCTCTCTGTATTGTTGCACCGGAGGCCGTGAAAACAATCGCGGCTCGACACAAGACAAGACAGCGAGCAGATAGACAAACAGGCGGAACACTCCTCTCTTGTCTGCTGTCAACATGTTACAGCAGGAACGGCACCGCTTTTTTCGCCTGTTTAAACACTAACACGCGTGCACACACCCGCCTTCTCCCCACTTCCACTGCGAAACGAACTGTCACTCAACACCTACGGCTTTTGGGAGGGGAACAGGTACACTTAACTCTCCTAGACAATTAAAATGTCAACAAAGTCACGAGTTAATGTGTAATTACAACGTTTGAGATAAAAAAAAAAGTCAAAAGACAATATATAACCACAGACAGACAGACAATTATCCTATAGCTTTGTCTTTTCTATTCCATTCAGAAATACTTTTTTTTTAATCCAAAAGGAAACCCAAATATTGTTTTAAATGTTATTGCAGCTCATTATTTGATGCGTCAATTGAGGCATCATTATTATATTATTATGCATTAATAATGCAGGTGATGTCTCTGATATAACTGGACATAAAGGGTTAAAAGGAAGGTGTGTTTTTTTTTTACAGTAGCTTATGCTTTAGTCTCAGAGTCCCTTTTTTATTTGAATGATGAGGGAAATGATTTAGAAAGAAATGTAATAAGTGTACAGCCATTTAATTCAGTTTTACATTAGCCAGAGTGGTTTTGATTTTGAATACAGTTGATTATATATTGTGAGATTCCTTTAAAAATAGTTAATAGGCCTTTAATTTAAAAATGGTGGTGTTCAACTCTGATGCATTTGTGTTTAGTAATATTTTCTTATACACTGTGACCAAAACAGGCGGTTCAGAACCCCTATTGCCAAAAAATAAAAAATATAGAGAAAAAGCACATTAATAGCAGGAAACGTGTTTGATTCCTCCATATAAACGTCACTTTTGGAAGTAGGCTATTAAAACGCATTTGCGTTAAAATAACGGGAAATTGGTTAAATTAATATATATTATTGCTTTAATGTTGTAATATTACTGTTATTATTATGGAGAAAATTATTGGATTTCTTATAATATTTTATTTGATTTATTTCAAATGTGTTAAATTGTTTATTTTTTTTCGTTGCGTGTGTTCTACATTTGATTCATGTATGCTGTTAAATATTTTCGTAATCAATTGCAATTTTTTAAGACATCTTTTTATTATTTATTAGACTGCAATGACGCCGTTACGTTGACTTAAGAGTGCAGATGTAGCCTCTGGGTTTGTAGGGTGGAGGTGTTTGAGTCTGCCTGCACATGTTGTTTGAGTCTGTATAAACACATAGCAGGCCATCCTGTTTCCTCATGAGTGGGCTTAACATGCTGCGGATCTTCCTTTTGCTCCATCAAAGCTAGCCTGTGTTTCTTTTTTCCTGCATGGTGACTATGTGTAATTTTCCATACAGAAGCAGAAGAAAGGCTGGTGTCTTTAGGGTTTAATTTCTGTTCAGCCTTGCCTTGCCTAGGTGTTGGGGGTTTTCTCTCAGATTGACGCGGGAATCCCTTCGCCATCACTTTCGGTTAATGGTGCGCCGTATTTGGCCCTGAGCTCAGCCGCTGCAACCATCACAACCAATAATCTTTGCTTTACCTCCCGCTCCCGTATCGATAGCTTCTCTCGCCTCGGGCTCATGCTTTGATATGCTAATGCAGAGCGGGGCCCCCGGATTCAGCCGAGATCATATTAATGTTGTTCTTTCTGACTGCGGCTTCGGCGGCATGAATATTCACATAACCTTTTTCAAAAGAAAATCACTCAAGAAATGCGGATCCTACTTAGGAGGAGTCGTCTGTGTTTTTAATCACACTGCTTTCCCTTTTTCCACTTCAGCTCTAACAGCAGCCCGCAAAGATCAAGCTGATCTGTCTGACGCGCGCCCCCGCTACGTTACGCACGCACATACCCTTTTTTTCTGTCAATACATTTTTTTTTTCTTTTCTAGCTATAAACATCGTTGTTAGAATATGAGGAGAATGGCATTTGGCCCTTGTCTCTTTTTCTTTAATTTTCGTGGCAAACTCGTAAAAGGCGCTTGATTCCGCGTGTGATCCCGCCCGCCGCTCGCGCCGCAGCCCGAGGCTACTCTCCGTTACTTAAATACCGTTATCGCCTCTGGGCCCGCGCGCTCCACTGACTGCACTACCGGCAATAGCTCTTTTCGATCGCCCTTGGCAACATAAAATACAAACTACTTTGAATCAAAACATTTTTAGGGGAATTAATATGATGTGAACTGCGCGGCTTTCAGAGACGCGCGCTCCTGTCAGAGCGCGTGTGCCTGACGGACAGGTTAGTGCGGGTTCGTGTCACACGTAGGCAACAGGCGAGTCTGGATACTAGTTCGCGCGCACGCATGCACGAGCACTGGCGCCAGACCTTAACGAACATCAGTCCTATCTATCGATTTCTCCAACCTACAATCGTCCATGTCTGGCAGGATGAGTAAAAGTCGAGTCAGGTACAAATTGTGCAGCTGGAGTCCTGCTGGCCTTTGTTTTCTCACCATCGTGATGTTCCTGTTATGCTGTGGGCTTCAGGCGCTGGAATGAAAGGTGCAAAGTAGCTGTCCATGGTACTGAACCTGGATGACACTTTTTAAACAGTCTTCCTGTTGCCAGAAAATGAGGAAAATCCACAACATTTCTGCTGACTATGAATAAAAGATTGACAGTGGAGAAAAATAAGATTCAGTTGGTTCAGTTTAGTTTGTTATTGCAATGGGACATCCATAAGAGCTGTTAAAAAATATTCAGCCATCAGCTAATTTCCATCTGTAGTCCCAGGACAGATCACCTAAAAATGCATATTAAGCTACAAAAAAAAATCAGTAAACATAAAGAAAGATTTATGTAATTATCTTAATTTGAATTTCCTTTGTTTTATTAGATATAATAAAATCTCAGAACAATCTGAACCTAGTAACTAATACAAAATTAAGTATAGAATATTTTAAGTCAATTGAAGCTAACTATACTTTGTTTCCCCCAAAATTTGTTTTTAGCTGCTTCAAAAGTTTGCGTGATTGACAAAGTTGATTATTTAACATTTAGCAAATATTAGTGATCAAAATGTTGAAGCTGATACCTTCAAGGCTTTTTTCATTGCTCCTTTCCTGGGAGATTAGATAAGGTAATATACCGAGTTTAGATACTGAGAAGTGTTAGTTTCACTTATATTGCCAATTTCATGTACAAAACAATATCAAAGGTCCGGCCATTGGTTAATTTATGTAGTCACAAGGCTACAGGCACACACTAAACACACAATCATAACAAAGTACATACAAAGTCAACACATGTTAAAAAATCAATTACATTTTATTACATCAGCTCATATTTCCTATTAATTGATTCCACAATAGCATATCTTAACCAGTTATAACTAATATCTCTTTATTATTATAGCTATCAGTATGTTTTCATTCCATTCAGGGTGCTTAATCCATTCTTAAATAATTCTAACCGGATCCTATTTATCAAAACCAAGGCTGCCAGTGCAGTGATTTGGCAGTTTATCACCACGGTTGTATGTTATAAATGAGGTGGCACATAGACTCTTTTTCAGCATCAAACATGAGTTGCTTGCAGCAGTCAGAGGAACAGAAATAACATTGGACTTTATCGTATTTTGAAAAAAAAAAACAACTAATTGTGTAATTGTATGGGTGGATGATATAAAATGTTTATGATAGTTCATCAAACAAATATTCAATGAAATATAACATCTTTTTAACAATTTATCAAATGGAAGGTTATTATTTGGGATAACATGTTTCAGATGATGTTGGACAGAATTTAGAGGGTATTTAACAAATTGTATAAATCATGAATGCACATAAAAACCTGTTTCGTTCTTTGAAATGACAAATGTGTGTACATGTCCTGAAAAAATGTCTTTTGAAAGCAAATCAAATCCTTTTGAGGAACAGAGCAAAATCATAATTACTGTTCCAAAAATGTACCTCTAAGCAGTAGATATTGATGCAATCATTTATACACTCGCTATTTTATTTCTTTTTAATCATACTTCCTATGCTTTAATCTATGAAAACAGAATAGAATCAGGGCAGAGATTATAAGCAAAGAGGAATTAATAGTGCAGTACGAAATATGTGTAAAAGATAAAATCCCAGCAAACATACAGCAGAATGAACAAATATTGTGATTATGTTTCCAGCTCAAAGCAATGGTCTGTACTGTCCAAAATTCCCAAACATGTCACTTAAATTTTGGGCAATTATTTTACTTTAATGACATACCTGATCTCATACGTATCCTTCAAAGTATAAAACCAATCAAAACATTCAAGTTAGCTTAGCATAAAGTCGACATATCTAGAGAATACTGTCCCAAGTCATTACTTTGCTATGATTTTTCCTAATGGCTGCCCTGTTCTGGCAGCTCTATGCAAACAATGATAGATCTCATTATGTGCAAGTGACATGTCAAAAACTTATGTACATGGGGAAAGTAAGAAGTTGTTTTGTTGCATGATTGGATTTGCCAAAAATATAATTACTTATAGTGTTGGGTTGTTGAATAGTGTGATATTGAAATCAGAAAATATCCTTGTATTCAAGTTTAATGACAAAAAGAGACATTCTGAAAAAAGCCTGTAAATCTGTTTCATTGCAATGAAAACCAAAACCTAAATTCTAATTCTTACTGAAAAGAAATATCTTACTTTTGTAAAAAGAAAATACCTTCCTTCACTGCTTGTGAGGAAGTAAAGATGCATTGATGGTAAGATTTTATGTTTTCAATTAATACATTTATTTATTCTCTTATAGTTGTTTGAAAATTGAAATTGGTTATTTCATAATCTTGTTTTAAGTATATTCATACCAAATTACACTGAAGACATAATCAGTGCAATCAGCTTTATTCATGCTTCCACATTAAAATGTCATTGTAGGTGGTAAAATTTGCCTTAAAGGGCCACCAAATATCTTGTCCAATCTTAGCCTGCAGCACAGTTCTATTTAGCCGAAAGTGTTTCTTTTTATTTCATCACATCTAGTAAACGAATGACAAAGCGACACACCCTGATGTGAGATGTGATAACAAAGTGGATCAATAATAGAATATAGCCTACAGTACATCAGATAAAAAATGTTATTAATAAAACTTAAGCTGCAGAGAAGTTGTTACATATTTCATATTTGTATATGAATATATATTAGTAACAGGTAGTACTGATGAGGGTGTGATTGATAATGAGAAACGGTATTCTGCATCATTTATTCTTACATTCAGAAGTTAAAACTACACAATGAGATCAGTGGAAAGTTTCTGAAAAAATATTTTGTTTCGCCCTACCTGAAAGAAAGGATCTTACATATAGATTATTATGGAACTGAACCTGAAACATAAATTCATGCACACAACTATAAAATAACAACATATTTTTGAGGGCTATGAAGAGGGTCTTTGAATAAAGGTGTGTATCTTGCACCAATGTATATAAAGGGCTTCATATTTAATTAAGCTGTTGGTGCATTTCAATTTACCACAAGTTTGCAGGTCTCTCAGTACTCTAGATTATTATTATTTTTTTTTTATTGACATTCACTGAAAGTATTCCGGCTCAAAACAACCAATTTTAAATAAGCACATGCTCTCACTTGACAGGATGTTCTAGCTTTGGGGCTACTGTTAAAAAGTCAAAAGTTTTAGCACTTCGCTTTTCTTCCCACATACCAACTTTCCAATGCACTGATTGTTTATAAATAATTACAAATGAAACTTTAGCTAGAGATGAGATAACAGATTTTCTCACTGATCTTGTCATATCTAAAGACTTATTTTCTACACTGCCTTCTGTTTTATAGGATTCTTTGAAATCAGAACCAGATAGACCTCATACAAGGTGTTTACACCGCTGTGAGCAACATTGCACAGTAGTCTCCATGTGTGGAAAATCCCATGGATTCTATGGATAAAAAAAATTTACATTTATTGTGCAATGAAGCTAAGTGAATATGCATTTTCTTTGCTTGATCCGTGGACATTCAGGGTTCAATTCGAAAAGATACAAGAACTTTAAAAATTAGCCCTTTGCACAATTTATTGTTCCCTTGTGTGTAAATAAGATGGTACTTTATGAATCCAGAAGAGTTTGTATTATGTCTTTTGTGTTTGTTTGAGTAAAATAACAGAGCAGAAGAAACATCCACATTTCTTTTAATAATAAAATTGTTCCTTGAGGCTCCTGCAGCTCCTCTAAAATACACCAGCACACAAATGTTAGGCACATTGTATTCCGTCCAGTGGGGAAATAAAGTAGGCTGTGTTTGTGAAGTTATCGTTAAAGCTGCAGGGGAGCCTCCAGAATGCTGTCAAAGGGTTGGCCAGATCGGGGGTCCCTGATAATCTTTGGGTGGGCACACCAAAACCAAACAACATCAATGAATTTCAGGAATCCTGCTGTTTTATTATTTAGGTGAAGGTAGTGGGGCAGCAGGAAGAAACAAAGCTCTGCCAAATAAATAAACTCACCAAACCTCTATTTTTATAACATTTTTATTTTTTTATTGGTGGGAAGATTACGGTCAACTCTAAATCCCCATATATGTTCAAATGTTGTTCTTTTTCTTCACCTAGAAAATGAACCTAACAGTGTTTCTGTGTGTTTGCAGGGGGAACATGCGTGGTGAATCCCACAGATCTTTTCTGCTCTGTACCGGGTCGACTCTCGCTGCTCAGCTCCACCTCCAAGTACAAAGTCACAATTGCTGAAGTGAAAAGAAGATTGTCTCCGCCAGAGTGCCTCAATGCCTCCTTGTTGGGCGGCATCCTGCGCAGGTCAGTACAAAATCTAGTTGCAGATAGAGCTGAGGTGATAAACAACAAGAGAAAATAACCTATAGTCATGTGCTGTGGTGAATGTGCTGGAAAAGCTAGCTTAAACTATTGGTAAAGTTGAAAAAAAAAGGTTTATATGTTCAAAAACTCCAAATTAAATAGTTTACACCCTACATATCATCATAAAATATGTGAAAATATATAAGTAAAGAAATGAGTGTAATAAAATAGAAATTCTGGAAGCAAAAGCTATTATTTTTTTGGCCTAAATCTAGCTGCTGAGCTTCGGAGTGTCTTTGTAGCCCTCAGATAAAACAGAGGATATATAGCTGCGCCCACAAGAAGGCCGGGGCTGCACGCGCCGCCATGCCCAGGGAGCCAGAGGGAGGCGAGACCAGGCCAAAGCATGCCTGGATCAGAGAAAGCAGAGGAAGGCAGGAGTTGCCAGCGTTGTATTATTGATGAGCTGGAGAGAAAGGGAGAAGGGGGAGAAAGAGGAGAGGAGAGGAGAGAGGGAGCAGAGAGAATAGGGATACCAGACCATGCATCAACAAAGGAAAAGAAAAACCCACGCTCAAATGTGGATGCTAATCTTTATGTGGATTAATATTGATAATGCTGCAGACATTGGTATTAGATGTTACATGTAGAGGGTCTTGCATCAACGGTGCCCTGCATTGGCACCTTCTAAGTCAATTCAGAATTGGACTGTCTGTAATATTTAAGGTGTTCTAAATGCCCAAAAGGAACAGAAAATACTAAACTTCAACATTTCAAACAGAACATTTCTAAATAAAACTCCAAATTTCCTTTAGGATAGTCTCTGTCAATGTAGATTTGCCCGGTCCAGTTTTGAGCAGTCTAATATTTAGGATTTAGTAAAAGACATAAACAAGTGCAGCCTCAATGTTAATGGAAATACTTAACAACACTTTAATTCTGAACTAAAGCATACACTGAAAATCAGACATCATTATCAGTGTTACCCAGCGTATATCAGAGGGATGCATCCTTTCAATTACTTTATATGCAATAAATCAAATCAGTTCTACCATTTGGATTTCCTTAAGTGATTACATTGAACAATTGAAGGATTTTTTTCTACAGTTGAAATGGTCACCCTTTATTGAATTTATGAATTATTTGCAGAGCAAAATCCAAGAACGGTGGGCGGTGTCTTCGTGAAAAATTAGATCGCTTAGGCCTCAACCTGCCAGCAGGAAGAAGAAAAGCTGCTAATGTCACCCTACTCACCTCCCTGGTGGAAGGTCCGTTGCTTCAGCCATCAGGTTTTTAGTATTTAATTCTTTTTCCCGCTTATCTCACTGCTTATACCCCTGTCTTTGTTCGCTGCAGGTGAGGCGCTCCACCTGGCGAGGGACTTCGGCTACACCTGTGAGACAGAGTTTCCCAGCAAGGCGGTGGGAGAACATTTGGCGAGGCAGCACACTGAGCCGAAAGAGACCAACGCGCGCAAGAAAATGGTTCTGGCAACAAAGTAAGAGGAAAAAACTCTTTAATATACATCCCTACAACAATGCAAAAATAGAACTTGTGGAAGTGCTTTTGAGGATCTCAACAGAATTATCTTATGCTGTCTGGCATCTCAAGTGCTGGATTAATCTGTTTAAGGTTATTCTGGTGGAATTCATCTAAATATGTTGTTTAACAAATGAAGTATAGACTCTATGAATAGACTCTATTTGAAAGGTTTTATCCTATTTATTCACTCAAAAGGAACTGACCTTATCAAAAGTAATAAAGATGGTTGGGTTCAGGGAGAAGCAAAACAATCAACTCTAGATTTTTGCTGGCTGTGTTGGAGACAGATGGTAAACCCTCAGTCTCCCCCCTCCCTCCTGTCTGTCAGGCAAATCTGTAAGGAGTTCCAGGACTTACTGAGCCAAGATCGTTCTCCTTTGGGTTCCTCGAGGCCGACCCCGATCCTGGACCTGGACATCCAGAGACACCTCACACACTTCAGGTAACAATTTTTCTTTAAGAAAATGACAAGAAACCTTAAAGAAAGAAGCCATATTTGTGTTACCCTACATTTAAAAACTACCAGTCGAGAAGCTTTGCTTGTTGTGACAGTGACCTCCTTGCCAGTTTCCAAAAGACGCAGCTGTGCATTTTTGATATTTGGCACAAGCAGCAGGAGGACAGGACGCAGCCTAATTAGCAGAAATGTCACAAGTATGGCATCACAACTCGCAGAAGTTTTAGTAAACTAATAAAGAGGGAAGAATGTAGACTGATTGGAAGCAACCCTTCATGGTGGTTGAAGCAAGTGCTGAGAGATGACCTTTAGGTTTGTGTTAACCGTTCTGCTTCCCTGTGTTACTTCAAGATCTTGAACATATTTTGAATCTCTGCAAAAAATTTATTCTGCATTGCTTGAAATGAATTGAAGTAATGCTAACTAGCCTGCTACTGACAGTCACTATAAATAATCAGATGGAATCTAAAGCTCTGAACCTTGTGAAGTCTAGAATGTTTAAAAGAGCCCTCGCAAAAAAGGATATTTATGGCGAGATCTTTCAAGTGCTGGCCCTTTTGCTCCTTTTGCCATTTTTTTATAGTTTTGCCAGACTTTATTAGGTGTCATAAAGGATCTCAAAGATTTTCTAAATTTAACAAACTTGAATTTACTTATTTTATACTCTATTCAAGCACACAGGGGGAGATTTTATACCTGCTCTGAGGTCAAAATGTAAGAAAAATTAATTTATTTTCTGATGTAGTTTACTGTAGGTAGATTAACCTAATAGCTTATTTTTTGGCTTTTTTTACTATTTCTTACTATTTCAATGCAAAAAGAACAAAATTAATTTATTTGGGATTAAAGTGGAAGTAGGAAGGGATAAAATAGCAGCATATAGCATATACTCTGAAGGCCCAATAGGCGATGTTATTTCTAGCTCTGATGTTTCACATGTACCATGAAAGTGACTAAGTCAGACTGTATCTGAATGCGTTGTTGAATGCGTGTTAAAATATTTGTAGAGATATGGTCCTAATTCTCTGTGTTAAAAAAAAAATGTATGCCATATTTGTACATAAAAGTTTAGGATGTGGTGTTTTATGATTTCTTGCATTACATTCATCACAAACTTATATGCAAGAATTTAAGACATCTTAAAAGAATGTCAGATTTTTCAGTAAAATAGTAAAACCACTAAATGTAAGAGTGCAAAGAGTAAGAGATAGAGTCGGGTTACTCTCTGAGTTTTAGTTAAATCTTGGAAACTAACTTTCGTGGGAACAATCATCCATTTTTCTGTCTAAAAAAAAGTAAATATAAGAGCAAAGATCATTGTGGGATGTTTCAAAAGCAGTTGATATTTATAGTTGACAACTTAAAACTTAATAAAAATCGTATATCAAATGAGGTCAATGTTTTTCAGATTAGCTACAAGTTTTCACAAGCCTTTATAGGAGACTGTTTGGTCTCTCTGTGAACTTTTAAATAATTTAAATGAAAGACATTCTGTGGACAATAAAAGATCTATGATGGGAGGATATGAGGAATGTTTACTGAAGTTTTGAGAGTATATGCAGCAGGTTAGCTGTGAGAGTCCTAAATCAGCATAAACTCTGCCAACCCTCATGATCATGTATTTGTGTCTCTTACCTCTGCAGCCTGATCACTCATGGCTTCGGTACACCAGCGGTCTGTGCAGCTCTCAGCACCTTCCAGACGGTCCTGAGTGAGATGCTCAACTACTTAGACAAAAACTCGAGTGGGAAAACGAGTGGACCTAACGAACAACAAATCAACAGCAGCTCAGAAAAGACACAGCTCCGGAAAACAGCTGAATCCCAGAACAAGGAGGGGAAGTCAGAAAAGACTGAGTAGCAACCCTTCTCCTCCCCAACACTCTTACACCTGGTTGCCGTGCCTTGGAGTGCTGAATCTTAGGAGTATATCTGAGTACGAGTGTGTGCTTGTGTGTGTATGTGGGACCTCATACTGGAGTAAATCCCACAGATTTTGGATAACTTCTTAAGGACATATTTATTCCTATTTATTTATGTTATGTTGAAGTCTAACACTTATTTAAGTTTCCCAAACATGGAGAGTGATGTTGAAAAAAGACTACTGGGACTCATCCAAAACTTTTAGTTCTTGCTTTGCTTTTTTATTTATATTTTTAAGTATATTTTTTTCAGATCGGGGATGTGACTATTCAAAGACAAATCGCTGCAGTGAGTCAGCAAGATCACAAAAACTGAAAATGTTTTCTGCTCTTATAATTGATGCTCTGGTCTTCAATGACTATTCAACTATTCAAGTTGATTTTTTAGGAGTTTTGCATTCAGCTCTGAATGCAAAACTCAAAACCTGATTCCAGATAATAATTTAAAAAGATCAGTAACCTGCAAAGCACTTGACTCACATCAATCAGGCATTTATTTAGCAGTGCCTTTCCAAAGTCTTCATGCCCCTTGAAGTGTTGCACATTTTGTCATCATACAACCACAAACTTAAGGATAAAACTGCAAAAAAAAAGAGAAGACATACATTTTGGGTGAGTGTTTTTTTTTTATCGAAATACCGAAGGGTAGCATTCAAATATATTGAGCCCATCTGATTAGATTCCACTTAAAATAATATTGTGCAATCTACTGATTTCAGACTTTACCTAATGAGAAACTTTGGTCCACTTGTTTTGATTGAGTTTCAGTATAACTCCATCTGTTCTGACAACACCTCAGAGGATAACTCGAGAAAATAAGTGAGCAAACAGCCTTGTAAAGATGCCAGTCAGTTAATGAAGTCATGAGTAAAAATAGTCATAACCACAAACAACTTATAAATAAATACCAGTCCATCTAAGACTGGGTAAAAAACGAAATAAGAAATGCCGAAAAGGCCACTATAACTCTAAAAGAGCTGCAAAGCTCCACAGCTCAGTACAGATGAGAGAAGTTCAGTGTTTCCCAGACCTCTTGTTGGACACAGCAAATGTGAAAAATTAACTTTCTGACCAGGATGTAAAACATTGTGCTGTGCAAATATTGCCATTGCACCTACATTATGGTGGCAGCGTCATGCTGTGGGGAAACATTTCCTATGTAGGATCAAGGAAGCTAGTCAGTGTTTATGGGAAAATGGAAGCCTAGCTAAGGACCTGCTGGATGCAGCAAAAGACCTGAGAGGGAGGCAGAGGTTCAGAGAACTATTCTTACCAATCAGCCACAGCTGCATTGCAATGGTTAAGGTCAGAGCATGTTCATGTGTTGGACTTTAATGGGGCCCTGTAATGATCCAGACCTGAACATACATGCCAGTACTTCAAAATCTATTTTTGCAAGGAAGAAAGGGCAAACATTTTTTGTTTCAAAGCACGCAAAGATCAAAATTTCCAAAATACAAATTTTAAGAGTTTGTTTTGTTTTCCCTCCACCTCACAAATGTGTTTTAATTTGTTTTGACCAAAGTTTGTGGCTGGAATGTGACCCAATGTGTAAAATATTGGAGGGTTATGAATCAATTTGGGAGACATTGTATTTTGACGGTGTCTGTTAACCATGTGGATGACAGAAATGATTAGGCTGCACTGGGGCATGTGCGAGCTTGGTTTTCTGCATGAATGTGTCAGTGTGTGTGTGTGTGTGTGTGTGTGTAAGAGTGTGTGTGTGTGTGTGTGTGTAAGAGAGAGCGAAAAAAAGCAAGAGAGAAGGGTCCAACTCAGCCATTTTGTAAAAGAGTGACTTTGCTTTGTGCATGTCTGTCTTCGTACATGATCCAGATTGCAACTTTAGCCGACACAAGCTCTCCAACTCGCTCATGAACATTTGTACAGATATATATAAATATTTAAATAACTTTTCTTGTAGGCTTTCGACTATATAAATGTTAAATCCCTACCTTCTAAAATGCTGGTGTTCAATAAAGACAATTGTGTTCTACAGTTTGTTTTCTTTTGGTATGACTGTCATGTGTTGCACTCCCATGCAAATATACAAGTTTCATATACAAACACATGTGTGCAAACATCAGGAAGCAACAGAGTGAGCAAAGACAAAACAGAGAGAGCAGATCAAAGCCTGAGAGTGTGAAATATACAAAAGAGTTCAGAGTGTCAAAATTATGAAAAGCCAGAGTTCTTGTCTAATGTTGGGAGAGAAAACTCTACCTACAGCAAACTTCAAACGCCTGTGTGTTTTCCTTCAGTTTGAGCGACTTCTGTCAGGTTCCCTGTTTATTCACATTTTCTAAAACTCTAATGATAAAACAGAAGGAAGAGCAACTGCCTGCTGGCGTCTCCATCCGGGCTCCGCGGGTTCTGTTTGCTCGTTAATATTCCAGTCATTTAGAAAGGAGGTCACGTTCGCCACACAATACAAAAAACACACACACACAATCAGACAGGATGCATTAACACTGATGTCTGCACTGATTTGTCACCCAGCATCAGTGCAAAGGGGGCCTCTGGTGGAGAAGTAATGATGGTAAAGAGAGGTAGAAAGGAAGGAAGTGACACAGGTGGAAGATACCAGCTTGTTCCTGGTTTTACTGGATGTATTTGGTCTGCTGTAAACACGAATATGCTGTTGGGATTTCCCTGTGATGTCTAAAGTTTTGAAAGCAACCCACTGCTGCAAAGCAACAACATATGTTTTTATCTACCCTTCTGAAGCTACATCATGTGCATCTTTTTTCATTTAGGAACAAGAACCATCTAAAAATCTTCAGTAATGCCTTTAGGAGAGGCAGATGTTGGAGACCAGTGCCTATTTTTTTCCCACAAAATGACAAAACATTATTAAGCAAAATGTTGCAGAAAGAGGGATTTTGCGTAGAATAGATGCTTGGTGTAGAACTGCATGTTATATTCATTAAAACTCTAAATTAAAGCAAAGGTTGCTCTATTAAAATCTTTTTCATTATCATTACTAGATTTATGTTACAAAAACCAGTTTTCATTAAAAAAATATTACTGTCAAATGTTCGTATCAATTTTTAAAATCATAATAAAAAATCTAAACATTTTTCAGAAAATTCATTTCAAACCATATAATTATCTGATTTTGATTCACAATGATTGTGTAGAAAACCACCTTGCACAAAGCACTATTAGACAATAGGGTCAAATATAATATGGACTGAAATTAAATGTGCATTTGATAAATTACCTCTTCATGATTTTGAAAAATTGTTCATCTCAATCTGTCCATCTTTTTCTAATGAAGATGGACAGATTTCTTTAAGCACATTAAATCCCTTATTGATATATTTTACTTCCCAAGAATTAATTAAGAGTTTTTATTATTTTCACCTACTTATACCCACTAATTTCAGAACAAAATGCCAACTGGACTGGATTACACTAAATATAGATTTAGTTTGACATATTCAATACATTTTATTTGGAAAAACTCTACAGCACTGACAATGATCATGATTATGTTTCAGTGAGTGTGCATTTATAAGTGGGTTCTCTGTGAGTAAATTGACATGGTGTTAAGGGAAATCAGAAACCGAAGATGCAATCTGAATTGAATTGTTAAAACCTCTTATTTTCTAAAAACCTGACTTTTAACTTTAAAGCAATGGCTTAACCATTCAATATGGAAAGTCACAATTTTCTTCCTTTTTTTTTTCTTTTTGCACAGTCATTTTTTAGTGAATGAAAGTGAATTTTTTGTCAAGCTATTTCTAAATAATCATTATCATAATCCGCTTTATTGCCCAAGGCTTGGTGCAAAAATAAGGAGTCTAACTTCAGTTTAAAGTAATTTTAATCAAACTAAAGTATATAAAGCAACTAAAGAGAAGGATTTCCAAGACGTAAGCAGCTCTATAAACTGACCTTTGTGAATGCAGCTTCTGAGTGGAAGGTGTGAGTGCTTTTAAGGAAACCCCAAATAATTGTTGCCCTTTATGGACGAGTGGCAAAAGAAAAAAGCCATAAGACTTCCTATTTTAAATCTTCCATAGGTTTATACATCAAATATTTGTTTCTCAGAATGTTTGCAAAGAAAACTTCTTCCTCATAAATTCCATTCAGAATACAGTGCAAGAATGAAACATTAATTCAATATTTTTTTAATTCTATATAATACTACAACACTGAGGAGTTTTGTAAATATATATGTTGGACTTTAAATGCATCAACTGAATGCCTCAAAATTTAAACACAAAATAACATAATCTTTTTGCAATAATGTGATATTAATCTGCATATACCCCTGTATATAATTCTACATTAAGGGAAGGTTGTAAATTAATGCAGAATGGTAATAAAGAGTTTATTGGTTCAGAGCCTTTGAGATAACTTACTGTAAAAGTGAAAATACAGAAAAATTCCAGTAAACCAAACTACTTTTGATATTGAAAACCAAATTGTGCCTTATTTGTTCACGGAGCCTTTTAATTTTGATAGAGCTTGTACTGTTTTGCACTGAATAATAAGTAAAAATATTTATCTTTAGATATGTAAAGCTGCAGAGAGACGTTTAGATGGAACTGTGACAAAAGGTGGTTTTAAAAGCATACTGGATGGATGGATGGATGGATGGATGGATGGATGGATGGATGGATGGATGGATGGATGGATGGATGGATGGATGGATGGACGGATGGATGGATGGATGGATGGATGGATGGATNGATGGATGGATGGATGGATGGATGGATGGATGGATGGATGGATGGATGGATGGATGGATGGATGGATGGATGGATGGATGGATGGATGTGAACTCACAGAAAAACAAAGGCTAAGGTATGTTTAGCTGGATAAATAGTGACAAGACAAGAGGATGTGATTAATTTTACAACAATGATGCATAATGTGATGGTGGGATCAGAGCACTGATCATATTTCAATGCAACAAATTTCATATAAATGCAATCATGGGAAAGTTAATCAGCTATTATTGTTAATTATAGTAAATCTATTGAAATGATATGTTGATTTTAACCGGTTTCTTCAGTGTGTGGATGTTTAATGTTCATAATGGTTTAATATGATGAGGAAATAATAAAAATATATATTTTCAACTCAGAGATCCATGTCAGGGTACTGCTCGTTTATATGGAGGTGAATGAAACAGTCGGAGGTCTCAGAGGGACTATAACTCCCGCTGACTGAGCCCCACAGTCACGAACACCAAACTCTGCCAACTTCTAAAGCCCCATCTCTCTCCTCTGAAGCTATAACCCTGCTGCTCCCCCTCCTCCTACTCATCTTCACTCGGCTTCTCTCTGCTAAAACCCTCTTCCTCCTCTGTCCTGATTCCATTCAGTCCCAAGAACATTCAAGGCACTTCTTTCGTCTCTTGCCATCCTAACTGTCCTTGTCACACCCTGCCATCTCATGCTTGCACTTCAAGGTGTTTGCATTTCATTTAAAACCTACAAGAATCCAAAAAGGGGAGAAATGCAGCATAGTTGATAATAAAGTCATATTTCTACAGGGTAAGATCTTAGAGTTGTTAATATCCAAATATGTAGCAGTCATACTTTTGATTACCTTTATTTATCTATTCCAGTAGTATTACAAATATTGCATTAATTGTGACTATATTAATTTAGATAATTTTTAATATATTCTAAAATATATTCTATAAAAATAACTGTGGCAGCAGTAAAGACTTTTAATTTATTTTCTAACACTGATTGAAATTAGGAGATGGGAGCATTTTATCATTGTTCGTCAGTCTATTCACGTTGTCAGGTTAATGGAGACTCATTTTATGGTGTGTTATTGCCATCTAGTGGTCAATTTAACAAACTGGCGATGTTAATTTTT